GATGGATGGATAAAGAAAGAAAGAAAGAAAGAAAGAAAGAAAGAAAGAAAGAAAGAAAGAAAGAAAGAAAGAAAGAAAGAAAGAAAGAAAGAAAGAAAGAAAGAAAGAAAGTTGTTCCCGAGGGCTTCAATGAACACTTTTTCCCAGGACTACTTGGATATGCTGAGGACTGAACAGGCATCCACTCCGCCACTGAGCTATGGTCCCCCCTCCTACGAAGACAGGAAGGAAAAGCAAAGCGTGCTGCTTATATTCCACCACATAATGCTTAAAACACTCTCTGGGCAGTTACAATTTAATGATGCAGGCTACACATTGCCCACCTGCCCCCATCAAGCTGGGTATTCAACTGACCAGCCTCAGAAGGAGGGAAGGCAGAGTGAACCTTGAGTCAGCTACCTGGGATTAAACTCAGGTTGTGAGCAGAGTTCCAGCTGCAGTACTGCAGTTTAACCACTGTGCCAGGAGGAAGAGGACCACCCAAAAGCACTTGTTTTGGAAGCAGTGTTGTTGTTGTTGTTTTGCTCGTACAGTTTTTGCCACCTCTCTTTGGTCCAAGACCAATCATGATAGCTAGGACCTACATTAAGCCTGAAGACCTGTCAATAAATAAGTGGGGATAGTGGAAGTGAAGCTCCTGCATTGTTCACGCTTTATATCAAGGATAGTCTGGACGTGGAAAAAGAGCTTTGTTCCCAATTGTTGCGCTGCCTTTGGCTCTCCCCTCCGCTCTGTTCGAAGCAGAATGCCGCCAGGACTTCACCAAGGGCCACTTGCCTGCAGGAGGCAACAGTGCAGGAGGCAGACGGGTAGTCATTTCACGTTTCTCTCCCTCTTGGTCTTGCCTAATCTACCACTTTGGCCTTGCAGATTGTTGCTGGTTGGCAACACCCAGCCTTCCTCACCACTGACTAAACTAGAGAAGGCAGACGGGCGTTGCAGTCCAGCAGCCTCTGGAGGGATGGCCCTTTGCCTTCTCTTGTCGCGTAGACTGACATTCTCTGGGGAACGTCGCTTCTCCTCTCTCTCAGCACCATTTCTCTCTCTCTCCTAGGCGTGAAGCTACTGACATTTCCCTATTTTATCTTCCTCATCTGCAGATGCCTTTTCTGTATGAAATCTCTCCATTCATTTAAAACTGTATCTGCGACATATTCCGAGGATCAGTTTCCATGCAAGTCCAATATCTGCACTCCAATAAAATGACTCTTCCTCATGCCACTGCACTTTGCATAAATCCACGGTCCGAGGCAGGCGATGGGGGGGGGGAAGCAGGAGGCAGAATTCCAGAACCCCTGCCGAGAAGCAACCCAGCATCACTGAACAAAAAAGGGCTTATGGAATTCCATAAGCTTGCCCCCTGGTAAAACAGTCCTGTACACCTGCACTTGGAGAGCCTTACATTGTTGTTTGCAACCTCCCAAAGGGTTAAACAGGGCAGTGGGTTCCATTGAGTGGGGGTAAGGGGGGGGGAAAGAGGGACGTTGCAAAGATAAGCTGGAACTGGCTAGCGCTGAAGTTCCAGAAATGCTGCACGTGATTGACAATTCCTGAGCCCTCTGAAAGGAGGGGCAGGGGGTTGTTTCTTCATGCAATAACATGCTATTTCTTTGCCCAACTGGTGCCAGCAGGAGCCAATCCACATAATCAATGAAAACTGCTTCGGGCACTAGCTCATTCCACTCAAGCTGGGCACAACAGCAGAAAAGATGCACCATCTGGTATTTTTTTACAATAAAGCTTCTAGCCCTCCGAGCCAAAAAGACTGGCTTGAAACTGTGCGTGCTATGCCTGGTGATGTCTCGAAAGCCAGAGGAAACTCATTCGGATCTCCAGTGGTTCCATAGCGATCTCCACAGATTCTGGAGAGTTAGAAAAGATTGGGCAAAATTTCCTGGATGTGCATCATCTACAGAATTTTAGTTCTTGGTTCATATCGTTGCAGAGGTTTGAAGTCTGCAGGCAAAGGGAAGCCCCACAGGGTTCCCTGCTGGACAAGATGCTTATGTGTTTAGCATAAGCTGAATAAACCATACAAAATCAAAAGTATCTTGATTTGTATATATATATGCCAGTCACAGAACTTGATTCTTCTGAGTGCAGAACTCAAACACTGATGCACTGCCACAGCAGAGACAAGAAAACTTGGTTCAGATTGTTGTCTTCTTTGGGCCTTGGAACTGTTGACGTTTTTGCAACCTTGCACGCTTGCCTGTAGAAGATGTGACTGAGCTACAGTGACTATTAATCTATCCAGCATTAACTAATCCTTCCTTCCCTGCCTCTGATTTCAAAGAGAAGCCCGCCTGTCTGCTCTGAGTTCTTTCCCTCTTTTTAGTCTGTTAGAAGTCAGTCAGCCTGTTGAGGCCTGTTGTTGAAAGCAGTCACGTCCTTAGCTTGCAGTCTACTTTGTTCACCGTAAGTAAAGGAAACCGTTTTTTATTATTCCACAGCAGAGACAAGAAAACTTGGTTCAGATTGTTGTCTTCTTTGGGCCTTGCCTATAGAAGATGTGACTGAGCTACAGTGACTATTAATCTATCCAGCATTAACTAATCCTTCCTTCCCTGCCTCTGATTTCAAAGAGAAGCCCGCCTGTCTGCTCTGAGTTCTTTCCCTCTTTTTAGTCTGTTAGAAGTCAGTCAGCCTGTTGAGGCCTGTTGTTGAAAGCAGTCACGTCCTTAGCTTGCAGTCTACTTTGTTCACCGTAAGTAAAGAAAACCGTTTTTTATTATTTGTACAGTGGTGCCTCGCATAGCGAGGTTAATCATCGCTGAACGGATCAAAAAAAACCATTGGAACGCATTAAACATTGTTTAATGCGTTCGAAATGGGCCGAAAACTCACCGTTCAGCGATGCTTCCTATGGCCGGCAGCCATTTTCGCGCCCTCGTTTAGTGAGGGTAGGGCGCGAAAACGCTGCATGCGGCCATTTTGACCGGCGAACAGCTGATCATCGGGGCTTCGTTTTGCGAAGATTGGTAACGCGAGTTTCGCCTTATCTAAGAGTCGTTGAGCAATCGCATTAGCCATCCCAAGAAAGGGATCGCTATGCGATTTTGTCGTTGTACGGTGCGCTCATTAAGCGAGGCACCGCTGTACTATTAATCTCAGAGTGTGTTATTGAGACTGTAAACGCCAGTTGATGAGAAAAAGGGGTGGACTAATCTGGGGAACTTGAAGTCATTCTGTTCTGTGAATCCCTGCACATCCGCTGCATGGCTAGAGGAATTGAACAAAAAGTACAAAACTCGGCAGCAGAAACTCACCGGCTAGCCTTGAGCCAGCCACTTTGTGCCTGACCCTACTTACTGCGGAGGATTGATGTGAGGATAATGTGGAGAGGAAGCAACCTTGAGCTTGCTGGAGGAATGGTGAGATAATACTGAGGATGATCATGACGACAACAGTGTAAATGAGAAGAATAACTGAAGAGTCCCCAACGTCCCCCCCCCACCCACTCCACTTCCTATAGACGAACCTGACACAGTAAGTCTGGCTCCCCTGCTAAACTTCATGCTTGCAATGTTGGTGGCCACACAGTGGAAGATGCCCGTGTCCTCAGCTCGGAGTCCAGTGATCTGCAGGACCCCCTTCGGTAGAAGTGTGTACCTAAAGGATCACAAAGGAGATTAGGGAGAGCGGTAGACCTTCCCTCCACCCTACGAGCTGCACGCCCATAACCATTCCGTAGAAGAAACACAACCGATTCAAAATATCGTTCCCACTGCCCCCGTGTCTAGGCCTGTATGTATTTCAAAGTGGAACAATGAGAGAGATGGATCATTTTCAGCTGGGGAATGGGCATGGAATAATGAAGCCAAGCTCCCACTTCACCATAGCCTCAATCCAGACCGGAGCAACACGCACCGGTCTTCTGTCATGGACAATAAACACAATACCTCATGGAACTCCAAGGCCATACGTAACGGGATCCCAATCATTGTACAGATTTATTCATGCCATCACCTTCCGAAATCCCTAATTTGGTGACAAGAGTGGGTGGTTTGGATAACAGCAAAAAAGCTGCAAATATGGTCCTTGGCTCCTTCAAATAAAGCAAAATAAAGGTCCAGCCTGAAGCAAAGGCTGCTCGTGAGTAGGCATGGGATTGTCAGAGGCTGCCTCTGTAAGAGCAGATGGCCCCGTGCACCTTTGCAAGCCAAAGGGAAGCCTCACAATACAATGTGACACATTTCTAACATTTCAAAGAAGCAGCACAGGAAAAGCATGCTCTTCTGCCTTTTGGACCGACCCCAGTCCCATCATTCAGCCTGGGGGGGTTCCTGCCAAATTGTGAGACTGGCAGTCCTTGGATTCTGAAAATCCCATCCTTAATGGGTGGATTTCTAAACTCACTGACAACTGCAAAGCATTAGGGAACTGGTAGGTTTCTTTTTTTTTTTGGCTGCAGAGCCTAATGAATGAGTCCCCTAATGCTTTGCACTTGATGTGAAGCTTAAAAAGCTCCACTGCTTAATGACTGTCCCTAAATGGATTGTCTTTGCAACGAATAGGTCTGTATCCTGAAACGCCTCCGAGAACTTGGATTTTGCTACCAGGATTCTAGGTGGAGCTGAATTCTGGTCGCTGGACAGGGAGAGAGAGAGAGAACCCATGCCAGCCTAGTCAATGCTGACAAAACTGAAACAGATGGATGGAACCAATTCAATACAACTCAACAGTCAGGTTGGGAATGATCATAGCTCAGTGGCAGAACACACTTTGCATGTGAAAGGGACAGGTTCAAAGCCCAGCCATCTCTGGGCCCAGCTGGGGAAGTTGCCTGCCTGAAGGTCTGGAGTGAGACAATGAGAAGTGGGTAGGCAACTAGTCCCCAGGAACTCATGGCTGTTTTCCTGCTCTGCCATTCCACCCCCAGAATTCTTGGCCCAGGAAATGTTGTTTTACCATCTTATTGTCTTCTTTCGTAAAAGGATTGAAGTCTGTGTGTGCACCCGGACGTGTGTTTTCCTGCTTTTCCTGTATAACTGGAACTTAAAGGCTCTTTGACATCAACAATACAGAAGCTTTTTGGCTTTGACAGCTGTATTCTGCTCCCCCCCCAGCTAGCATACAACATGGGTGCTTGTATGGAGAGAGGGGGTGGGGGTGGAAAGCTTTAACTTCCCACTCCAGTCATTGCTGAACTGAGAGGGCTTTTACCTTGCCCACTGCCAGGGGGTTCGGCAACAAGAGAGTTCGCCTAGTATTTTATTAGGTTATTCTAAAGCATTCTGATTATCGTTTACGTGTTTTTGTAAAGATTTTGTCATTTGTACGGCAGTATAGAGCAATACACTGGAAATGGACTGAAAAATTAGGAAATAATCAGTCAATCAATCACCGCCATTGACTTACTGGACGGAGGATGGGAAGAGATGGAAAACAAGGTCTTCGTGCCGAATCGAGCAACAGAACAATCTGTTTTTATGTGTGCGAAAGTATTTCTGTTAATGGTCTGAGGCATGCTGGAGGAGTCTATGCAATGCCAAGGGAAAGCCCGGAGAAGGCATACTTTTGGCTTATTATGGGATGGCTCCATGTACCTGCCAGTTTAACTGTTTCTGTAATTTCTTGGGGAAACAGCTGTGCATGCAATTGTGAATTGTGAGGTTTCTTGGCTGAACAGAACCAAAATCAGCATCGCTACTACTCTAAAGCAGTGGCTTTCAAACTCACAGGTCTGAACCCCCCATGCCTACTGACGAGCAGCAATAGCTTCAGGCTAGAGTTTTATTTCATAGGTCAGGAAAATGAGGCCAATTTCCCAAAAGACAAGTTGAACATTTCTTGCTGGAGCTTGGAGAAGCTACCTTTTCGACTATAGCTACCAGAATCCCCCTAGCCAGCAGGGCCAACGGCTTTGTGGTTGGGGGAAATCTGAGAACTGTCACCCAGGAACAACATTTGAAGCCCCCCCATGATATTAAACATGGTGCTTTGTAGCACACTACCCAGAAACCTTTGCAATAGACACAGGAGGTGGGCAAGCACGTTGACTTGCTCTCATAGCCAAACAGGCTCATGGTCCTTACCTGTCATTTTCTGTATTGATCGGCAGGTGATTCTTCTGCCACATGATCACTGGCTCCGGCAAGCCATGGATCTGGCACTGAAATCTGGCCACACCTCCTTCTTCCACCACCGCACTCTGGGGGTGAATGTGAAAGTCCGACATAGCTAAAGGAAAAAGTAAATACAAAGGGATCAATATGACATTTGAGATGTGAAGACCGGAAGTAATTACAAGCAAGAACAGCTCAGGGATCAATATGACATTTGAGATGTGAAGTAATTACAAGCAAGAACAGCTTTGAAAATTACTTTCAGGTGGCATGAATACAGTGACATGCTGAAACCCTCCTGTAACGGTGCAGACACAGGATGATGCCATGAGTTCCAAAGCACCATTCTATCCCTGCTCTGTATAAAGGATGGCTCCAGCAGATCATTGCGGTCATTCCTGTTAAAAGTAACTTTCCAATCTCTGACCCCAAGGCTCCTGAAAATTCAGGGCATGCAAATAAAATAGCAGCTGCTGTGGCACCTTGCCAAATGTTCACATATTTTAATTCCACAGCCCAGGTGGGAAAAATTGCAGCGCTCAAGACGCCCAACCTCCATCGCTCTCTCTGGCACAACCCCTGCGGTGCCACATTTTGCTCCCCTTCTTCTACAGCTTTTGTTAAGTTTTGTTATCCGTGCTGTTCTTCTCTTGAAGAGCTTGGAAGGCTCTGATTGCAGTGTCCAGGCAGTTAGGGTGCTGGTTGGTGTGGTTGGGTGGTCCTAGGAAGCTTCTCCATTTGCCTGGCCTGGATCTTTCTCTGCTCTCCTGGCGCAGCCATAAACACAAGACCCCTCTTGGTTAATTGGACCTCACGGACCCCCCGAACTGGGCATGGGATCTGTTTGGTCTGTGTTCAGGACAGGACTGCTTTGGCCTGGAAATGAACAAAATATCACTGGGCTGATTGTGATCTTATCGCATCTATTAAAAGGATGCTCTTTCTGGAACTGATTAGCAGGTACCACTCAACACCACCTAGTGTGCAACCAGCTTCCAAACTCAAGACTAGACCATAAACACCCTACCTCATCCAAGTTCCTCACTCAGAACAGAAACTCATTTTTACCTGTGTAAAACACACACACACCCTGCCTGCCTGTCCTTTCTGGCTTCACATTAGCACGTGCACACCCGCACCCATACAAGCACCTCTGAATGTTCTTCTTTCAGTATCCATCAAAGATAATACATGTGCATCTCTTTAAGGGAAAGAACCCCATACGTGTCAAGAGAGATCCATCATTCACCTCCAGACTCCCATTGGGCTCCGACAGATGGAAGACTTCTTATGCGATTTCATACATTAAACATGGACTACGTTACCCTTCTTCTCTCACGCCCCTCTGTCAGAAGCTTCAGCTCACTAAATGGAGCAGATTTAAAATATACAACGTGCTGATTGTGCTTTTAGGAGATCCACTGTTGTTCACCCCCCCTCCACTCTTTCAAAAAGAAAATCTGGTTTAAACTGGATTTTAATGTCATTTAAGAGCATTTTATTAAATTATGCTAGCCCCTTGAGCACTAATTGCATTTTATTGTGTTAAGAAAAGTGCTCTGAGCAGCAAGCGTCCGGCTGGTGTAGATGTGCAAGAGAAGTACACTTATTTCATTAGTGTGTATTGCTATAATGTTGCGAGGCTTGCCATAAAAACTGTTGTGTTTTTAGCAGATATCAACAGCAATGCTAGCATTATTACTGTAGAAGGAGTGGCTATTATAGTTATTACTTCCATTGTTATTATTCTGTTTTTTATAATATTATTGTTCACAATTTATTTTTACACTTATTACTGCCATAATTTTATAAATTGTGAAGCAGATGGAGATAATCTCTAAGGGCCTAGTTTTATTTTACAAGCTTTCCCACTCTGCCACTTTTGAGCAGGTATTTTAACAGCAGGGCCTTAGTTGTCGGACCTTATTTGGCCTTTGAAATGTTCTTGGGAACTCTAGGACCACTTTGAAGTTTGTCAGGGATCTCTCTGTGAAAAGTAACAGCACAAAAACTGAGCACCTTCTTCTATTTACCTTCCCAAAGTCTGGAAGGACCTACCACAACACTTGCCCAAATACCTACTCTAGAAGTTTCCCCAACATTTCAAAGCCGGTTTTTCAGATACATGTGGGGAAGCGTGTAGGAGAGATGCGGGGGAAGCGTCGCTTCTAGTTCTGCTGTCACTGAACAGAAGAATGCCAGTAAACCGGAGGGGGGGGGGACAAATTCCGCAATTAATTGCATAGAATCATAGAATACAACAGCTGGAAAGGGCCTATAAGGACATAGAGTCCAACCCTCTGATCAATGCAAGAATGCAAATCAGAGTAGACCTGACAGGTGGTTGTCCAACTACAAAATGTACTTTACCACTTAACAAATAATAGTGACATTACGTAGTAATTACTAGTTGCTTGCAATTAAATCATTTTTGCAATAACTTAGTCAAAAGTAAGTAAAGGTATGATTGTAAAGTAAGGAGGGGAAAGTAGCTTCTTAGTTACACTTAAGAGTCATAGCTATGGAGTTTGATCTCACTACGCCGAAGAATTGATGCTTTTGAATTGGGGTGCTGGAGGAGGCTCTTGAGAGTCCCCTGGACTGCAAAGAGAACAAACCTATCAATTCTAAAGGAAATCAACCCTGAGTGCTCCCTGGAAGGACAGATCCTGAAGGTGAGGCTCCAATACTTCAGCTATCTCATGAGAAGAGAAGACTCCCTTGTAAAAGACCCTGATGTTAGTAAAATGTGAAGGCAAGAGGAGAAGGGGACGACAGAGGATGAGATGGTTGGACAGTGTCACCGAAGCGACCAACATGAATTTGACCCAACTCCGGGAGGCAGTGGAAGACAGGAGGGCCTGGCGTGCTCTGGTCCGTGGGGTCACAAAGAGTCGGATATGACTAAACAACAACAATGAAGATGGACAAATACCCTAGAGGTCAAGAGTCAGTTCATGCTCCTGTCTTACTCTCTATTGCAAGAGTTGGACATGACTAAACAACAACAAAAATGATGGTGGACAAATGCCCCAGAGGTCAAGAGTCTGCTCATGCTCCTGTTTTACTCTCTATTGCCGTGGTGAGTGTATATTGTACCACAGACTATCAGCTTGTAACATTCAGGTGTTTTTAGGTAACTAAAAACTACTTTAACCATTTTAATTCCTTTTGGAAAATGGGAAAAGAAAGCAATTCTTTTTTTTAAAAAATGAAACTACAATGCTAAGTGATTACGGGTGAGGCTGGAGTGTAACACTGCTTAATTACTTTTTAAAAGAAAATTTCCAAGCCTGCATCTTGTTTAATAAGCAGAATTAATGTTGAGCATATTGTAGGTCACAATCCCCTTCCAAACCAAACAAGCAATAGCCTCAAAGATGCCCCACAGCAATTACATCTGCACCCCAAAACATGCATGAGAATCCTTCTTAAACATACAGACCGATCCTCAGCAGTCCGGCTGAGGTTGAAAGAACTCACTGAATGTATGAAGTCTCTATGCCTTCACCCTCAGCTATCAATACAAGGAAAGGAGTAACCAGCCTCACTTTCAGGTTCATTTCATTCAGAATTAAGACATCTATTGGAGTGGCACAAGGTCAGATCGCAAAAGAAGGGCTGTTTAAAAATTTGGATTCTTCAATAGATAATTTGCAGGTACAAGCTCAAAAGCAGAGGCTCAGCAAGAGGATGCTATACCACTCTTGAGGAATCCCTGGAATAGAGGGTTTTGTGGGGTTTTTTTTCAGTTGGCAAAGGGTTAATCCGAAGGGGAAGCTGCCAAAAAATTTAAAAAAAAAACAGCTCTAAGGGAAGACCTGGATTCCAGCCTCTTTACTTCAATAATATCATCTCTTCCAGGTAAAACTACCGCAATAACCTCTCCTCTTAAAGATATCGGTATTAATGTTTATCATGAATAAAACATAAGGAGGGCATAAATAATTCAGTGGCGAGGATGTTAAGTAAAATATGGCTCTACAGTGACCTTATAATGTGGCTTTAAAGCACGGCTTCGTGTCAAATCTTGGGGAAATTTCACAGCCCTTGCCAAAGCAGCTGGTTTGTATCATTTGCATTAAAAATTAATGCCCCTGTGCTACGAACACTGGTTTGTTGTTGTTGTTGTTTTAAAAAGACCCCACTTTGGCAAAACTTTATTTACAGTTGCAAAGCTACGGTTCTCTGTGGGTCGGGGACAAAGAGCCATCTTGGCAGAGAGTCTTTAAAACCAGTCTATGCCAGGTGAGGAGACCTTGGCCGATTGGTATTTGGGCTGAATTTCTGGTACGATGGTGCCAAAGTCACACATATGATCATTCATCTCACCAACCCATGTAACAGATCAACAAGAGATTAAACCACAGCAGAGAATCCAACAGCCTGTGTGCCACACTCAAGGCCTCTGGGGAGTCTTTTTTTGGGACCCTTTAAGAATTACACACATACCAATGTTATTTCCAAGAATTGCACACATCCCAATATTATTTCCACTTCTGGAGCTTAATGGAAGGACACAGACTCACACACGCACACACACCAGGAGAAGACATACAAAATCAGGAACTAATAGATATTTCAGTATAGCTTCAGATTAACTCCCTGGCCTCAGGAGTATACATCCAGATACTTCTTCTAGATTAAATTGATAAATTCGCTATTCAGTAAGGCAATGCTTTTTTAATCCCAGAAAAGTGAGGTAGTGTCACTAATAATGCAATCTC